TTAGGGTTAAGGGTTTAGGGAAATCGAGAGAGCGAGAAAGGGATGGGGAGTTGGAGGTTGTGTGAGTGCGTAAGCGTAGTATGCATTGAGGAGGGTGCGATTTTTTGGCTAGATGCCCCTTGAATCTCAGCCTCAACACATAGACACATAGCCTTCATGCTGCCAATGCGAAGGGTTTGATTCAAGCGATTCTGAATCTCGCGAACAAAATGTCGCACGCTGCCCTGGGTGTCTCAGAGACCGGCCAAGGATGAAGACGATCGAGCTGAGTACCTTGCAGCCGTGAGGCCTGCAAACAATGTGCCAAACCCTAAACCTTAAACCCTATATAACCCCAATATACTATAGTAGCTTCCACTTTCTTTTCCATTATCCCAATATAACCCCTATATAACCCTTATGGGGCCAGCAACATGGAGCATATGCAAACATATGCTCCTGGAGAGGTTTGGGAGTTTGGGCTTCCGTATGCAAAGGGCCCAAGCATTGGAAGCTACTAGTTTCCCCATGTCTGATATATTTTTAGATAAGTCTATATAAGCCTGAACAGACACAGAGCGCTTGTGTGAAAACAGTGCAACAGCTGAGTATTAAGAGACTGCAGAGTCAGGTGTCTTTAGGGGTTTGGGGTTTAGGGATTTAGGGTTTTGGGTTAGTGTTAAGGCTGTAGGGTTTAGAGGACTGGAAAGGAAAATGGAAACGGAAACTGCCACAGTGCTGGAGAATGTATGGTAGCTTGTCAAAGGTATCGTACCTTCTTGGGTCCTTAGTATATCTAATACAGCCCGGAATATTTAGGGTGCCCCAAAAGAAGGGACCACGTTTTTGACCGCCTACCATAATTACATATGCGAACGTATGTATAAATATATATATACACACACGCACATCCTAAACCCTAAACCTTGAACCCTAAATCCTAAACCCTAAACCCTCAACCCTAAACTCCAAACCTTAAAACCTAGGATTCCTGGCATGGACGTAACTCGGGAAGTGCCGGATGAACCTCTTGCCTCTGGCAGACGTACAGGTCCAACGGGTTGATAAAACAAACCTAAGCCCCAAATCCTATAGGGTTTAGGGTTTAGGGTTTAGGATAGTACCCCTTAAGTAGATTGGCTTTATAAGGGTAATATCGGGGTTATTTGGATAATGGAAAAGAAAATGGAAGACACTATTTAGTGTTTAGGGTTTAGGGCCAAGTCCCCCTTAAGTAGATAGAATATGGCTTTGGGTATATTACAATAAGATCCCCACATACTCCATGTTCTTTCTACTTAAGGGAGCTATGAACCCTAGGGCCTTAGGGCCTAGCTCCTCAATCCTAAGCCCCTAAACCCGATTACTATAAGCTCACATGAGCTGTAGTCTAAACTGCTTAAAGGAGGTTAGATAGGGGATTATGTCGGGGACTAGTGTAGGGTTTATATTGGGGACTACTATAGGGTGTAGAGTTTAGTGTCTAAACTCCGTAAAGGGGGCTATATAGGGGATTATTATAGGGGTTACTAAGGGGGATACTACGTAGGCCTTTAGACCATAGCTCACGTGAAGCCCAAACTTTCATATTCTGGCCAGTTGTGCTTGTGACCGGCTGCCTTTTGTCAACAGCACATCTGAGACTGCAGGTCCCAATGGGTGAATGGGGGGCTGGTAATGGAGAGTCATCTGGAAGAGAAAGCGGAACATAAACCCTCAACCCTAAACAGGGATCATGTAGGTTTTGGATTTCAGGCATCGCTTTGAAAAGCTTTCTTTTGTTTCGTAAGGTGAGGGCCCATACCTCATATGGGCCCTTAGCCTTTTTAGGGGATTCTAGGGACCCTTAAGGGTATATATGGGGTATATAGTAGATATAAGGATCCCATGGTTGAGGGCCCATACCAGGGGCCCATGCTTTCAAGCTTAGATATGATTTTAGTGTTTTAGGTCTAGGGTTTAGGCTTCCAGCAGCTCATGTCTTTCCGTGGGCCCAGGCCCCGAACCCTAAACCCTGAACCCTTGGACGTGTGCAAGTCCCTTCTGTAACCAAACCCTAAACCCTAAACCCTCTGCTGGGTCGAAGAGATTCTGCAGTTCGTTTCTTGTAGGCAGGCCTGAGAGCTTTAGGTGTCAGGGTTTAGTTTGTGTTTTCCTGGGGCTCCAAGCCTGTAATTATTCCAAGTTTTGGGCCCTATTGTGGGCTATTTGGAGCCTTTAAGATACCAGGACTGCTTTCAAAGATTGATAAGATTGCAGCAGGTGCTGCGCGCAGGCGACTTACAAGATTGAGCTTATGGCGGAAGGATCTTTGTGTTAACGCCGCCCCTAGATAGGGTTTACGGTCTAGGGGTGCAGGGTTTGGGGGGGTTGGGCTTAGATTATCTAAAGCCCTAAACCATAAACCAAAAGTAGCCCACATACCCCAACATGTTAAACAAGGCTGCTGTTAAAGGCATTTGAGAGGTTTGAGTCTAGACGAGAAGCCTTAAACTCAAAACCTTTCAGAGGGTTTTAAGGCTTTAGGGTTAAGGGTTTAGGGTTTATAGGATTCAAGGTTTAAGGGCTGAGGGTTTTCCCTGACATCCCTAAAGTCCCTAAACTCCCTAAAGCCCTACATATAGCCCATGGACCTGATCGACGCAAGCCATGTCCTTGTCCGCTTGATGATTAGGTAGTTTCCGTAAATTGGGTGTTTAGTCGGGTTTAGAGTTCAGGGCTTAGGGTTTATATGGTTTAGGGTTTCGGCCTCCAGGGTTCAGGGCTTAAGGTTTAGCGTTTAGGGTTCAGGGTTCAAGGTGTAAGGTTCACAGGGTCCAGGGTTTGGGGTTCAGGATTCAGAGTTTAGGGTTTATAGTTTACAGGGTTCAGGATTGAGAGTTTAGGGTTTATACCAGGACCCTCCTAGTACCCTTTATTGGGGATATATGGTCCCTTATAATGGGTACTTAGGCCCTAATAGAGGGTAGGAGGAGGGTCTAGGTAGGGTTTAGGGTTTTCTAGAGTTCAAGGTTGAGGGTCCGAGAGCGCAGCTGGCTCCCCAATCAACTCTGTTTCCAGCTACACTTCCCTGAGGGGAGAGCGGGAACTTGACCCTATATCCCTATATTTAGGGTTTAGGGTTTAGGGTTATATACCCTAAACCCTTAAACCCTAAACCCTTAAACCCTAAACCTCTAAACCCTAAACCCTAGAAATTTCGGCCTCTTGGGGTCGTTTGGCCCAATTTTGAACTTTTGGGGCCAATTGTGAACATTTTGGAGCCCATTGTGTTTTTTGGAGTCGGGTCTTTTCAGCAAATTTGGGTCCCTTTCCCCCGAGGTCAAACTCTGATGCGCCCCGTACATTATAGTATATCATAGTATATAATATTAATAGTATAGTGTATTGTAGTACATTATAGTTTATTATAGCTGCCCCTTCCCCTTGCCAGTCCCCTGGCAAACATTGACGCCAGCTCTCCCGTCAAAGTGTGATGCGGGCTCCCGTCAAGCTTTGATGCCCCCGCCCCTTGACATTCGCGCCCCTCCCGCTTCAAACTTTGACCAACCCCCTCCCCAGCCCCAACCCCTAGTAGTTTCCATTTTCTTTTCCATTCTCCCAAGATAACACCTATAGATACAATATTGTGCTATAGTAATTAGTTTCCATTTTCTTCTTCCGGTCAAACTGTGACGCCCTGCCGTCAAACTTTGACTGTCACAAATCGACGCCCCGCCCCTTAAACTCAAACTTTGACGCCCCTTTGGGGTTTTATTTAGGGTCATATAGGGTTAAGGGTTTCGGGTTTAAGGGTTATAAAGGGATAATGATGGATAATGGAAAAGAAAATGGAAACTACTGTAGCATACTTTCCCCGTCAAACTTTGACGCTCCCCTCCCGTCAAACTTTGCGTTCTCCCCGCCCTTCCCCATCAAACTTTGACGTCGCTTGATCTTCCCATCAAACTTTAAGCCAATTTGGGCCTTCTGGAACCAGTGATCATTTTGAGCCATTGCAGCATTCGAAACACAGGGGGTCTGAGTCAATTAAAGTTGTTGGTCAGCTAGTTCAAGACCGATCTGGCCATTTTTTCAATCTGAATCAGATCGAGAAATTCACTGTACTGAACTCCTGCGGTGACCCTAAACCCTAAACCTACATATCCTAGCTACGCTGGCGCACTCGTGGAGCTCTGCTTCCCTAGAATTTAGGGTTCAGGGTTTGGGGTTCAGGGTTTGGGGTGTAGGGTTTAGGGTTTAGGGTTCAGGGTTTGGGGTTTAGGGTTTGGGGTCCAGGATTTAAATTTTGGGTTTAGGGTTCGGGCAGTGCTATAAGCCTTATATTCCAGGTACGCCCATGCGTGAACCCCTAACTTACGGAAACTTATACCTGAAATCCTAAACCTTAAACATTAAACCCTAAACCTTAAACCCTAAACCCTAAACCATTTAATCTTAAACCCTAAACTTTCTAAGCCCTAAATCCTAAAAAACGGGAACTCCTATTCTGCACCAGCTTTGGATCTGGAGGCTCGCGGAACCCCTAAAGCTCGAGAGCCAGTCGTCCCTCCTTTGGCCTTGGGGACTGCATGTAGGTCAAAGTGGGGGTTTGGGGTATAGAAAGCCCCCCTAAGGGGTTTAGGGTTTAAGGTTTAGGGGATGGGGTTAAGTTTGGGGGTATCGTTTGTAGACTTCAGCGCCCAAACTAAGTATCATCTATAGAGGAAACCCTACCTGGACCTCAAAAGTATGTAAAATAATGGCCTTTATGGCCATTATTATACGTTTAGGGCTATTATTTCACATACTTTTGGGGTTTAGGTAAGCCTTCGGTTAAAACCCCTGGGCTTGGCGAGATGGCTCTTACGACAGAGCGCGGAATGTTTTGATTCCGTGCCCACCCTTTTCCACGGTGCAGATGTCAAACTTGCTTTGACTTTTTGACGTCTGCGCCTTGACAAGTCCCGAGAAATGCCGCATGCGCACGGGTATACCACTATGACCTACAGATTCCCTGCCGCCCTAAACACTGAACCCTAAACCTATAAGGATTTGCTCATTTGGGCCCTGAAGTCCATGAACGTGACCTGCTTTGGTATGTTTGGTTTTGAGACTTTCTTGGAGCACAAAACCCTAAACCCCAAAACCTAAAACTTAAACCCTAAACCCTAAACCTTAAACCCTAAACCCTACAAGCCCTGCAACGGCGTCTACATCTCTTGGGCTTCCCCATTCGTTTTGAGACTTGCCAGCAAGAGGAACCAAACAGCACAAAACAAAGGCGTGGTGCTTGCAAAGGCATCGCAGCTTTGCAGTCCATGTTAG